AGACTCATCTTTGTATGTTATGTATATATAACATATATGTGCGTGTTATATATATAACATACATAACAACCTTCGACAAAATAAATACTTACTTTGGTCTCTTAGTTATACTGATTTTCTGTTTATTTAACTCTGTGTTTGCTTTTAGAATCTTTTCTTTGAAACTATTTAAAGTTTCTTATTTACCTATATTTCCAGGAATCTTCACGTCTCATTCTCTAAGTTCAATGAAGTATTGGGCATGGGTGGAGGGAAGGGGAGAGAAATAAAAAAGTAAACATTAATCTGTTTTTAAATGTTGCTCTTCGAAGGACCAATAAAGATCCTTAGTGGCATTGTTCAGTAAATATTGACAGCTAAAAGCAAGGTGGAAGGTTCAAACCCATCAGCTGCTCTGCAAAAGACAGATGAGACCATTAGCTCCTCTAAAGATTTACAAAGGCTCAGAAATCTTGCCCCCCCACCACAATCATGACCCCAATTCTGCCTTACAAATCCGGCTAGACTCGAGCATATACACTGGTACAGATAAGAGCTGGAAACACAGGGAATCCAGAAGAGATAAAGCCCTCAGGACCAATAATGAGAGTAGTAATTCCATGTGGGGATGGTGAAGGTGGGTGGAGAAAGGGGAAACCAATCACAGTAATCTACATATAACCCCCTCCCAGGGGCACAACCAAAAGAAAAATGGGTGAAGAGAAACAGTGGTCAGTGTAAGACATGAACAAAAATAATAATAATTTATAAATTATCAAGAGCTCATGAGGGAGGGTGGGGGAGGGGAGGGAAATGAGCTGATACCAAGGGCTAAAGTAGAAGCAAGCGTTTTGAAAAAGATGATGGCAACATAGGTAAAAGTGTGCTTGACACAATGGATGGATGGATGGATTCTGATAAGAGCTGTACGAGCCCAACTAAAATGATTTTTTTTTTTTTAATCCTGAGGGTTGATATGAGTTAGAATCAACGTGACAGCACTGGGTTTGCTTTGCTGTTTATCCTTTTTGGTTACTTCCTGTTAATGAGCCTTGGTGGCACTGCAGGATAAGTATTGAGCTGCTAACCACAAGATCAAACCCAACACCCAGTGCAAGGAAGAAAGATGAGGCTGTTTGCTCCCATAAAGATGTATAGGCTCAGAAACCCTACATAAGGTCACTGATTTGATGGTTGTGGATTTGCCCATCATTCAGCCTAACTCCCTCATTATGATGAAGAAATTTAGATCCATGAACTAGTTGCCTAAGAAACTTTAACTGTTGTTTTCCTGACTGTCCAACTAGCGCTCTTCCTAAACCAATTATATTGTTATATTCCTAACTGCTACCTGAAGTATTGGTTTGGAATAGAGAATAAATTATATGAAGGAAAAATGAATCACAGCCTTCTTGGTTTATCTTATTATTGATCACCAATATGTTTCATTAATTCATTGAGTGTTTGAGTAAACCAGCCTCTAACTACCACAAGGTCCATAGACGCAATTGTATGGCGATAATATATAAAGATTATAATTAAGTCATAGAAGATGGTAGAGATAGGAGAAAGGATAAAATAAAGGAGTCAGACACATTTCATAGTAGCATGCTCACCTTAGCCCTTCTTGGTGGTCCACGTGGAGGTAGGAGAAGAGAGAGAGTCTTTACTGTCTTGGGACATTTATAAGTAGCCCTAAGACATGCATATGAAGCAGTTACATATGTCACAGATGGGTGATAATCACAGTAAAGTCCCTGAGCTCACAGGTGAGGAAACCTAATACCTGCATTGGGGACAGGCACGAGGGGGGATGGGTGCCACGGGGGGGGAGGAGATAAGAATATCTGCTTCTATCTGTAGGGAGACAGAATCAACCATGTGCTCACTTTAAGGCAGCACAGCTGTTAGGGAAGATTCTGTGGGAATGATATTTAAAGGAGGATCATGTGCTTGGACTTTATCTCTAACTTACAAAGTTTTGGCTTTCCTACAGTGGAATACGTGCTGTCCAGATTCCCCCTGTTTGAAATTAAGGAATATGGCCCTAGTCAGATTTCCTTCAGTGTTATCTCCCACAATTGAGAATAACTTTCATTGAACTAAGATTTTTTTTCCCCTCATAAAATCATTCTCTTGGGATCCCATCATGATTGAGCAATATTAGTTTTATAAAGGCTACTCCCCTCCACTTTTCAAAAAAAGATACATGTCCTCATTATTCTTTTTGTCCATGCATTGGCTCGTTCCCTAGATTATGCCCTACTTTCCCATGCAGTCCAACAGTCCACATATTCCAACCACCTGGAATATAATGCACATTTATGTCATGTCTTTGTTACTTTATTTCCTACAAATAGAGAAAATATAATTGTTCTAAGAGAAAATTTGTATCTCAATAGGTGCTTTATTAGATATTGAGGTAAGTCTTAAAACCACACACATGTGAACACACATACTGTTAAAGGGACGTAGACGAGGTATTGTGGTAGGAACACTGTGCAGGAAAAAATGTCATATTAAATTTTTTTCTTAAATGGGAGAAATGCAAAGAACTTCAGGCTTTAGGAGCGTAAAGTTTCCTGCCAGCAGTTGAAGCAATGTTACTCTACATTCTGTCTCATACATTATTTGAATTTAAATGTAAGCTGTATTTTGGAAAATAAATCTTAAAAGAAAAAATATATTTTCACATTATCATTATTTCAAATGAATCCTTGGTTAATAAAAACCAGTTTAGAATTGAATTGAAACTAACTTGCTAATGTCTATATTATACAATATAAACTTAATTTGCACTAATATGAAGTATTTTAAAATGTACAAGACAAGTAAAATGTGACAAAGAATTTACATAGGTTATGTCATGGGTTGAAAATAAAATTGTTACTTCTTCAAATACACACTTGTAAATGTCTATCGTTTCTGATATTGTTGAATAAGATAATTAGACACATAAAATTCTTACTTTTTATTTTATTTTTTGGGTGTCTACTATAGGACTGTATATTTATGTAGATTATTTTAGTTCCTTACAGCAACCATGCAATGTGAATATAATCAATTTATATATGAAGTATCAATCATAGATAGCTTAAATAATGTTCTAAGGATCAAAAACTTTGTAGATGACCGGGAATTTGATATCAATTTGCATAATTCTAAAGTCTATAATAGATTCTCATTATATTGTTATCACATATAAGTATCAGAGGTCTATAGAAATTTTCAGACATTTTGCTAAGTAGCATTTGCATTGCTCTAGCTGTATTTGTGTTATTAATAATAAATATTCACAGTTTTATTTGTAAGCGCATACTCCCAAGTATCAGTTCCATGAAGAAGAAACTGTTAATGTTTCATTTTTGTTTTTCTTTCCCCTCCTACAGCTGGTCTCAACTCCTTCACTTAACCTCTCACCCCTGGGAAAGCATTCTGCAAAGAGAACACGCTCTCTAAGTATTTATTTAGTAGATAAATTTAAACATCTGCCTAGAATTTCTTTCCTTAACATTCTTACCAAAGCTCTATACATTCACTTTTTACCCAGCATTGTGAAACATTGTTATTAAATTGCATAATTTCTCAATATATTTGACTTGTGTTATTTATGTCCACTGCTTGTCCAAATGATGACACTTGCCATTGTACTTGATTTTATATTTGTAATAAATACCTAACTACCCAATTTATCTGTGTAATTCTCTCACCAGTTCATAAAATAGAGCTGTACACTAATTTGAATATGAGCTCAGAGAAGTCCAAGGCAGGGTGGAAACACTGTTATTCATTACTACATGAGACTATGAACACCATTATAATTCAGTATATTAGAATACTAGTTTGTTTTAAGAGGAATATGACAAAAATATGTAGTTATTTATTATAAATGAATTAATTTATCAACAAATTAGTTTGAAAGTGTAACTTCAATAACTGTTAACTTTTTAAAACCAAAATATACTTAGAGAAGAATTATCTAGTTATAATAGTATAAAATGAGCTGTAATGCAATCAATTTGATACTTTAATATTTAAAGTTCTCAGAAAATTAGATAAAATGGTTATTATCCAGGTGATTTTTTATTACTAAAATCTAGCACTTTTGTGACATATATTTATTGTCACAATAGGTTTACAGATTTTTACATATAAATTAATATATACATATTTATTTGTGTGATTTGCATGGTAATTTACAAACATGAATCTAAAAAGAATTATTTATATGTAACCATATAATTTTTATGCAATATGTTCTTGTATCTGGGTTGCAATGGCCATTTGCAGTATTAGGAAAAATAATGGTCCCCAAAATAGCCATGTCTTAATTCCTGGAACATGAGAGTATATTATCATAGATGGTAAAATGAACTATTCATTTGTGATAATTTAAGATTCTTAAGATGAGATTTTATTGGATTTTCCAATAGACTAATATAATTTCAAAAATCCTTATAATAGGAAAACAAACAGGTGAAAAAGCTGTGACAACAAAATTCCTATTCGGAGTGATGTGGCCACAAACCAAGGAATGTGAACAAGAAACTCTGAAAATTAGAAAAGTCAGGGAAAAATCTCTTCCTTAGAGTTTCCAGGAGGAACACAGCACTGCTGACCCAGTTTAGATTTCCAACTTCCAGAATTGTAAGAAAATAAATTTCTGTTGTTACTGTAGTTGTTATGGAGTGTTGTGGAGTTGAGAGAGCAAAACCCTGCCCAGCCCTGCACTGCCCTTACAATTGTTCTTAGGTTTGAGGCATTGTCACAGACATTAAGCTACTCCACCCTGTCCCTGGATTTCCTCTTTTGTATTGCCCCTTAACTTTAACATGCATGATCTCTTTCTCCAGAAATGTGTCTCTCCTGATAAAATGCCTGTGAGGCTGGGTACACTAGAGAAGCAAATCCATGGACACACATATGTGTATAAGAAAGAGATTTATATACAAGAGGATGGTGTGTAAATTTGAATACTAATGTGTTGATTGCCCTTCTTTGTATGAAAATAATACTATCCCAGACAGCACGGTGCTTCAAGATTGATCTTATCATGTCCTTTTTTTATTATGAATCTGACCCCATTCCTCTTGAATCTGTCTTTCCCAGCATAGTAAATCAAATGATTTTCTGATTCAAAATGGCCAATAATGGAACATTACATCGCAATACCACATAGAATCAATCATTATGTGTTCCATTTCAATTCCAATATTCCTAGTTTTATGGCTACTTTGAACTCCACTTCTGATTATTGATCAATGTTTGTAGCTTTTCTTCTCATTTTGTGTCACTGTGTCCCATCAGCAAATGAAGGTACTGAATGTTCCGCTCCCATGACTTGGCTTTTTCTGTGCTGTCATGGTGAACTACTTTGAGAAGGCAGCTTTTTTTCAGCTATATTTTGAATCTCTTTTGACCTGAGGATCTCATCTTTCAGCACTAACTCTGACAATGTCCTGCTGGTATTCATGAGGTTTTCAGGATGTGACAAGGTTTCCATGCAATCCATGAGGTTCAGGGGCTAATTCCTCAGAAGTACAGAGCTTAATACTTCTTTTTAGTCTGTTCTTAATCTCAAACCCCTGGTGAAACCCATTCACTTTGGGTGACCCTGCTGATATTTGAAGTATCAGTGATATAGCTTCCAGTATCACAGCAATACACAAGCCACCACAATATGGCAAACTGACAGATATATCTTGTTAATAGACATTTCTAAAAAAAATGCAGTTTGCCTTATTAAAATCCATTATAACAGCAACAGAAAATCAAAACAGTATGCCATTCAAAAATAAAGGAAAAGGAGCATGTGCTTTCTTCTCTAGGAACTTTATGATTTAATTGAAAATTCTTTCTCATGGCCATCTATTCCTCCAGCTACTAAATAAACCTTTAATGGTGAGTCTTGAGGGTCTCTGGGAAGTCAAAATGGTTTAACCCTTCCGTTACTAACCATTAGGTGGAAGTTTCCAGTCTACAGTGTTGTCTCAGGAAAAAAACTGTAAATCTACTGGAAAATTAGCTACTGAATGCCCTATCGTGTACAGTTCCACTTGAATACTTAGATACCATGATTTGGTTCCTACTCAACAATTGATTCTAGTGAGCCAGGATCAAGTTGATGTTTTCAACATGATCATCCAAGAATGAATTGGAATCAGAATGGAAGAAATTACACACACACACACACACACACACACAATACATCATATTTGCCTAACTTGCTTCTTTTAAAATATACTACTCACATGCTAACACAAACACATACTGGTCAGGAAAACAAATATTGATTTAAGTGGGAGAAATTATAGTGGTCTTGAATTTGTAGATTATATGAAAAGTACTAACCTTGGTATGAAGGAAAAAGACAAAGTACAAAATGATTAAATGCAGAAGTGAGTGGAAATTACCAAAATATATTAGAAGAAATTTGAGATCTAAAATGAGACCACAGGAGAATGATTGACAAGGAGTGGGAAGAATTTTATTTCCATGGAAGAAATTTATATGAAGCAATTTGATCTTTTTCTCTTTGTATTTGTACAGTGCTGTAATCAAGAAAAAGAACTGAACATTTAATTAAAATGCATCATTAATTTTAGTGTCTCATGAACTCCTAAGGCCTTTCACCCCTATAATGAAAATAAAGGGAAGTGAAGCTACTTGATTGACAATCCTTTGGTATTTCTAAATTTTTATAATGCTTATATTTTCTATTCTGAACACATACCTCTCTTGTAGGAGGATGAAAAATAATCTTTCACATTGATCATGGAGAAAATATGCATTTACAGACAAAAGCAATTTTAAAAGACTATATAGAGTGAATTCCTTTAGTATTTATGGAAGGAGAACTAGTAAAAAAAATCAATTGAAAAATATTTATTGAGTATTATTTTATAATCTTTTATTGATAGTATTAGATGTAAGAAGGAAGGTTCTAAATGTTACAGGGATATAAATAAGTAAGTTACAATATTTTGTCCTAGTAGGAGGAAAAGAGGCGGGCACTGATGAATGCAGTAGTCCTTTTCACTGCATTCTACATTTCATCATCAGCCTTCCATTAGACAGAATAGCATATTTATTGATTGCCATCTGTATTATTCTGGGTACTTTGGAGAAACAAATCCACAGCAACTCATGTATAGGAGAGTTTTATGTAAAGAAAGTGTGCATCACAAAAACATCCCAACCCAATGCTGCCCAAGCCCACAAGTCCAACATTAACCCATTAACCCAACACCAGTCCACAAAGTCCTCCACCTCACAAAACAGAGGCAATGATGCCGACTGCAGGAGGAAAGCTGAGCCAGTGAACGAACAAGCATCTCAGCACTAGCAGGGGTCTCCACAAGGCTGCTCCAGCACCCAGGGTTGCATCGGGATAGGTCCATGTGGCTTCTCCTTGGGGATGTCTTGTAGGAAGTCAATCTTGCAAGCTGAAGCAGGGAGCTGCTAAGGCAGCTGCACCCTGGTGCGACCATCACAAAGCAAGAGACTCAAGAACTAGAAAGGTGAGGCTCACCACCCATTTATCGCTCCGCCTTTCAATTAGCCCCACATGTGATTATCGGCCAGGTTGGCACAATTAACTAACTCACCATCTAAGGACAAAGCACTTCCTAGGATAATGAGCTTAATAAAACAACCAAGATCATGGCCTTTAGAATTTTACAAAATCAACAAAAGCTAAATAATAAAAAATAATAATAATAAAATTAGATCTGAATTATTGGTGCTATCTTTAGTTTAAGCATGAGATCTCTTCAGCAATATATACTTCATTCTTTTATGTTAATTAAAAGGTGGTGTAAGCATATAAATTTACACTTATCTTTAGTTGTTGGCATCAGAAGTTTCCTTAGAGTTTAAATAGTACAATCAGTATTTTAGTTAATATAAGTTAAAATTTTATATAACAAAATCAAAGTTCAGTTTTTCAACAAAATTTCATTCTGTGCTAAATCACAATTCAGTAGAGTCTATGGGATTTGATTTACAATAACTCAAGGACTCTTTATCTTTTTATCTCATGATCATCACTTCACTGAGTTATTGCTCGATGGAAAAATAAGTTGAGAAAGAGAGGGAGAGAGCTATCATAGTGTTGACTGCCTCATGGTGACATGGTATACAGCAGAACTCAGTGTTGCCAAGTCCTGCCCGCGTCATTCTCACAATTGCTAGTATTTTTTGAGAATATCAGTGTGATTTCTATGCCATTACATCTCACCAGCAGCTGCCTTTGCCCTGGCTGGTATGCTTCAGTAGACATAGTGTCTCCTCCAGAAATGGATTCCTCTGGGTGTCCAAAGCAAGACAACTGGGTATGGTGATGTGGTGACCCCTGTGTTCTTTCTGACTTGTTTGCAGAAGATAGTCACCAGGCCTTTTTCTAATATCTTTCAGTCTGGAGCTTCTGCTGGAACCTTGCCATCATGGCTTACCAGGCTGGCATTTGAAATATCATTGGTATAGCTTCTAGCACCACGGCAACATGCAGAATGACCAGCTAATAGATGGGTGGGGAACAAAGTCCTTACATGGCATCTATTCATGTGGTGATGGGAGGAAAGATAGAGTGTGAAGGATAACCTGGAACCCTTCATGTACCAGATCTAGAAGTGGCCCACAGCACTCTAATCACATTTCAAAGTGC